AGTAAGACCAAACCACAGTGGTGCTGAGCTGGTTGTGGCTTAGTCAAATTTCTGTTCTAAAAACAGCTTATGGTCAGGCCTCCAAAGTTTCCTGCAACAAAGGTCATCACAGGTTTCTTCTGAAGTGTCCTGAATGTGTCCTGTACTCTCTGTCACTAGAGGTACATGGTTGTATAAGGAATGTTGATTGTTCAGATTTTTCTATATAGCAGCAAGCAACTAGATCCCAAAAAACAACCTCATATAGCTAGAAGGTAGGTGAGATGAGTAAGTAAAGCAGAAGGCAATAGAAAAAAAACACGAGGCCCATCTGTTCCAAACAACATGGAATTTCTATTGTTTTTCTAGAGCCCTTCCTTTGAAGAACCCAGAATATATGTGCACATTGAATATCACACCATATTTCGTTTTCTTACCATCTCTTTCTAAACTATGTGTGCTCTTCAGCAGAGGCACGCCTGCCTGCTGCTTTTTGTGGGCAGCACGCTGAACTTTTACAGGGGGATGGATGTTACTGTTCAGAACAGCTTGGCCAGTGAAAGAGTGGGTGGAGGGTATTCAGCTCTTCATCCACTGGCATTCCTTGTTTTCAGAGGTCGTGAGCCAAGGAGGGCTGTGCCTCTGAGCACAGGCAGTCATATGGCAGGGTTGCTGCCAAGGGATGAAGCCACTGACTTGTGATGCAGTCTGTCCCTCTCAGACCTTCATGCTGGGATAAAGGAGGCACTTAGGGTGCCAGGGAGAGCCTGAGGTCAGCACCTGATGAGTCTGGGGCTTTATGACTTGGAAAGACATGACATGCCTCAGGGTAAGTGGGGGGAGCATGGCTCTGTGTCACCTTGTAATGATAAACAGGTGGCATCAAGGCATGGGGGCACTGAGCGTGGGCTGGTAGTTCTAGTCCAAAAATCGTGCAATAAAATCACTTCAGCTGTTAAGAAAAGAGGGGAGTTCACGGTGTGTGTGCTTATGAGCAGAAGGCAAGAAAAGGAGTAAATGGCATGTAGGAACATGTGCCTGAGCCTGCCAGACCCTTGGCAGAGGCAAGGGAGAGTGGTAGGTACATTCCTGTGAGATTTGGGGTGAAGAGTTCCTGTATCCCACGGCAAGAGGTGTGCAGAGGGCCTGGTGTTGTAATTTTTCATCCCTCATAGCTCATTCCAAAATGAGATCATATTTTAGCAATCCACTGTTCTCAACTGGTCTTGGCTGTGTCCTGTCATGTGCAATAGTACTACTTCTGCCCAGGCCCACCCCAGAGCAGCTTGCCCTGGGGATGGCAAAGGAGGCTGGCAGTTCTGTCTGCCCCCCAGGCTTGGAGGTAGGCAAGCCCAAATCCAGAAATAAGAGATGAGTATTTCTCAGAAGCTTGTCTTGGGGTTTCATTTCTCTCTTTACTTGAGTCTTTGTTTCCACTTGCTGTGGTTTTTCATCTGTTTTGATCACAGTCAAGTCATGCTACCATAGCAAACATGCAATTTACCTAGAATGGAAAATCATCTCAGTCCATTCAGCTCCATCGGCCTTTTGAGAGAGGCCCCACTTTGAAATGAAGGAAGACTGGGAGAAAAGAAGTGCCCTGCTGCTGGTATTTTATCAGGCTGCTACTCTCTTGGTATTTTCTTAAGGTCCCAAGCTGGCAAAGCAAGGGGTAGTGCCTGTCTCAGTTTTCACTGAAAAGCAAAATGTTTCTGCCTTTGAGTACAGAGCAGCACAGCACCTGTTGTGTTCCTGTGGCTTTGAAGCCAGAAAAATTGATCCTGTAACTTTTGTCCAATCTTGTTGCTTTTGAAGGAAGTACTGTGTTTTGGGGAGATGTGTGCTGATCAGCCAACATTTAATTCTTGGGGGTTAGTAGTAGCATGCGCTGCAGCTGGGATAGTCTGCTGAACAGCCCTGGCTGAATTTGGTGTTGTTGCAGCTGGCAGGGTTAATGCTGTGTGTATGGGAGGAGGAAGGAGGATTTGTATTTCAGACCTGCTTCTGCTGGGAGCTAGGGAAGCCAAGCACTGCCTCATCTATTGCACTGGGAAGAGTGAAGGAGCTGACAAAATCTTCCTTTAATTTGTTTGAAGCTGCATTCATTTCTCCAGAAGGGGGAGAGCGGAGTAGTCAAATGCTGGGAGGAATGTGCCTAATTGAGGACTGTCCTTTTTCCCTGACTCCAGACACTACAAGAAAAATCAAGATGTTTAGAAAGGGGCTGTCATATCTACTCACATGTTTTGCAAAGTCCAGGATTATCTGGCTGTTGAGTGAGTCTTTGTAAAGTGTGACCCAATAATTCAGTTTTTAAGTGGTTTTGATACTATTTTGGTTACTGAGAAATTATATTTTGGATGGATGGAGGTGCAAGCCATGAGCAGACAGCAACTGCAGGAAGAACACATATTTTTAGACTTTTATCCTGTTTTATCCTCCTCTGATATATAAATTGTTACTTCTGTTTTTTTTTTTTTAAAGCCAGACTATTTCTTCCATCACAGTTAAATCTATTTTCTTTTGACAAACCCTGATTTGTTGCTCCTGTTTCTGTAAGGATCAGATGGGTAATGGAAGCTGTACAGCAACTTTATGTATGCTACTCGAGATAGTAAAATGCAGGCCTACAATAGGCCTTTTTTCAGCAGCTGTAAAGCTGTTGTGTGAATACAGTGAATCTATTCAGTGTCCCCCACGCTTGCTGGGAGCACCCTGGAGAAGAGAGTTGTACTAGTAAAATGACTGTCCAGCAAAACAGTTTCAGAGGGACAGGCTGATGACTCACTCCTTATTTCGGTTTGCAGGGTCTTTTTCTGGGTATGTGAAGTTTCAGCCTAAGTTAAGAGATCTGTAAATTTCTGTAACTTTCTCCTTGTTTCCAGATTATCCACTAAATCAGCATAGGTGTTGTGTTGCTTGCATCAGTCCTCTGAGATGGGGGAATACTCTTATTTTGCTGTAGAGGCTGGGGAAACTGAGGCAGGGGAAAATTTGGGTTAAGTGACAATGTGCATTAGGAGCCAAAGTCTCATGCTGTAGTTGTACTATAGAAGCTCAAGTGTCATTCAGAGCTATTTTAGCCTTTCAGGAAGTGTCACATAGCATTTGCCCGTAGGTCATGCAGAAAAGCCTGGAGGATAGCTGGGAATCTGTCCATCAAACAGCTTTATTTGACTTTTTAAACAGAGCATTAAAAATGGAAGTACATGAAGTGAGAACAGGAGGATTTTATGCTGATTTTGATCTTTGGCCACCTTGTATTTGAGTTGGGGAAAAAAATGAGAGGCAGAACCTAGTTGATTTGGCAGTGTGATGCTCTGTAAAATAATCTCTCTAACACTTTTTCTTAAATTAAGAATGGTTTCTAGGTGGCATGAGTCATGGACAGACTGTCCTCATTTCACTTTGAACTTGCAGCCTTCTCTGGATTTGTGTCACAGATTTAGAGGGCTTTGTCCGCTTTCTGCAAGTGGTAGGCTTGGCTCTTGCAGCCTTGACTGGTGTTGAGTGAGAGCGGTTCCTTGAAGAAAGAGGCAGCACCACGTCAGCGTGAATAAGCACGGTGGAGTAGGGGCCCAGGCTGATTTAAGCAGAGTATTTTGTACCAGCAAAGCAGCTTTGGAGAGTGGTGACACAGGCACAGCCTTTGCACAGGTGTCAAAGTCTCCCTTATTTGTGTGTTGTCATCTGCTTCAAGTTTTGGGTTGTTTTCCTCCAGGGTATGTGGGGGAATACACTGTGGTGTTAAAAGCTGTACTTTTTGAATTTTTGAACACTTTTGGAAAAGTTGTCTTTTTTGAGGTATATACAGCCACAGAAGACTGTGAATATTGTCTCCATTTCTTAATTAAAAACAAGAGGAAAATTATTCATGCCTGTCTGTTCTAGCCAAGGAAGAGAATCAAAGTGTTCTGGCTTACACGCACACAAGGTCAAATCCTCTCACTGTCATGTTGTGTAAATTTGTTGGCTTCAGTGAGGGTAGCCACAGGTGTAACCCTGGGAACAGTTTCTTTCAGGCTTTTTACAGAGCAAAAATGGATGTGGTTGTTGGCCCTAAAAATTGTTCGCAGAGAAATAACTGGGATGCTTGTAATCCAGAGAGGCCATGCAAATGCAAGACCACGCTCTCAGAGGGAACGTGAACTCTGCACTGGCTGGCACTGTTTTCCTGCTGACAGAGCCTGGTTTGGAGTCTTACGTACTCAGCTGGCTCTTGGCCAAGCCTTGCTGCAGGTATGGGAGAGGGAGGAGGGTGAAGCAGGGGGCGGTGAGAAACTGTTCTGGTATAGCAGCACTTGCTGAAAATTCAAAACCCTTCAGACCTTTTTTGGTGATGGTGGAGAATGTCAAAATTGATTGTATTAGAGCCCTGCCAGTTACTCTTAACTCATTTGCTTTGTCGCTCCTCCTCCCTTCCTTCCTCTCGACAGCTGGGCTGGGTTTTGTAGTGCTAATGCTGCACTGCTTCTCCAGCACGGCTACTACTTCCCCCACGCTGCTACTACAGAAATACTACAGGAGCTCACTGAAGACTGAGGGAAAGGGCTGTATATGTTTTATTAGTAATAATAACAGTGATAGCAATAATAAAACTGTGTAGCAGTTTAACACTTTACATAATGATTTTTCTTCTGGTTTGTGTTCTGGGTTTTCTTCCATTTTCACCATCATAAATTTGTGGAGTCTGGTATGTCCTGGATTGTGCTTTAAATCAATACTTTGAAGTTTGTGATATCTTATGGATTTTTTAAAATACCATGTTTTTGAGCGGTCTAAACCAGTGTTTTATTTTTTTTGTTCAGTTGCGTCTTTTTTTTTTTTTTAAAGTACAGCCCACAGAAGAGCTGCTGCTGGAGGAAGTTACCACACTTGCTTTAGATAATGAAATATACATTCAAAAAAGGTCAGGGATTTCCCCTGAGCCACCCACCAATTACTTGAAATGACATTTTCATTCTGAGTGTTTCTTTTTTTGTTTTTGTTTAAGATCCTGGAGCACAGGGAAAGAGTTTTAATGCAAAATACCAGAAAAAAAAGTCTGCAACATCTCCTGTGAGAGGGGGGAAAAAAGGAGATTAACAATTGCATCTTGAAACACTCATGATTTGAGGTAAGTGATTGGAGGGTCTTGTCATAAGTTACAGTTAGTTTGTAATTAAATTAATTATTATTTACCTCAGAGTGTCATGTTATTGCTGTTGAAGGCAATAAAAACAGGCAGGAGACGGAGGGAGAGAACTGTAACAGCAAACCCAGAAACAGCAGTAAAAATACGTGATGCACTTATCTTTTTGAAAATGGGCCCCATGAGTTCCAATCCCACAAACAGGCAATCATTCTGACATTTATAAGGGTTAAACCCTGTTTAAATCAATGAGGCTATTCTCCCTGAAAGTTAGGCATAAGCCTAAATATTTCCTAGTTTGGAATCTATATCATATGGGAACTATTGAAGAAAGCTATTGAAGAACATACAACACACAGCCAGAAAAATGCATATACAAATCTCTTACTGTTGGTGATAATGTCATGAGTAATCTGATTTTACAGCATTCTTCAGTGATACTTTTATATGAAATACATAGTTTTCATTTTTATGTTTAAACACCTCATTGAAATGCCAAACATCTTAGCAGAGCCTGTGAATTCTACACCAGCTTTAATAATACGTCTGCCTTAATTGCTTCATCAGTGTGTCTTTGAACAAATGAAGTTAAACGTATAAAGAAAATAATGTCCCCTTTAATAACTAGAGTTGCAAATAGCACTTGGATATTTGAATAGGAACTGAACTAAGAGTTCCCTGATTGAGGCCGAATTGTGTTGTCCAGAGTTAATTTTTTTTTAATAAAGACAATGATGAGGCACGAGGAAAAGCTCACCTTTTCCCTCTAGTCTTCATTTTTTTTTTTGTTTTCATTTCTCATTAGGAAAGAAGCATACCTGTATCAATTAAGGAGAAAATTCTACAGTTGTAAAACTTTTAACCAATGAAAATGTTGCATAAATGAACACAAAAAAGCACCAGCATCTTTCTTAAATATTTTAAGTTCTATACCCTATTCTGCCCCACAATTGTGCTGAAAGAGACTAAACTGCTGTAAGGAATCTGCAGAATCACAGACACATATAACCTTGAAGAAGCAGGATATATGTTCCCACAAATGTGCAGAGAATCAAAACCTTTTGTCAAGTGGCATTTGCAGACATATGTTGCTTACCAGATTTCAGAAGAGAGGAGAGCATAGCCGAACCCCTGTGATTGCTCTGTATTTGCTTTGTAGGAACAGAGCTATTAAGTTTCCTTTGAAATCAACAGGCCCACTGCAGGGAGCTAAATATTTCCTTCCTGGTCAGTGGACAGGAGCCATTGCTTGGGAAACTGTAGTGGTCCTGTAGGTATTTGTACTAATTTTTCTGAAAAGGTCAAAAGTTTTTCAAATCAGTGTAGCCAACTCCTTTTTATGTGCAGGTCTTGCACTAGGGACTGTGAGCCAGAACAGGAATACTGGACTCTTTCAGCAGGAGTCTGAGGCAATTTTTGTAGTTGTGAAATGAGGTATTAATGCAAACCTGTTTGAAGGCTGAGGTAGGAAAATGCCTCACTCTCTGGGGCAAGCCCTGTTTCAGGTGTAGGTGACAGTCTTGGCCAAACCTGTGAGAGAGAAGTGCTCTGTTGTGTGATCACCCTCAGCCTACCCTTGCTTTCTGTCCATCCCACTCTCTTCGAGGCAAGCATTCCTTCTTGGTTCTGTGAAGCACAAATCAAAATTCTTTTATTGCTACCTTCTTTTCACTGATGTCAGATCAGGATAACATGCATGATTTTCCTTTCACAATTGCATTCCTGTTGCTGTCGGAGGAAGTACACGTTGAAGCTCAGGAAAAGGCGTTTTGTAGCATCTGTGTGGCCTTTATAATAATTTTATCAACTTCTAGGTTTCATTCAAAAAATCATTGAGGTTTTTTTTAGTTTTTTTTGCATTGGGGAGTGCAGGAGCCCACTGTCAGAGTATTGCAGGGAATGTCTTCGGTGCCAAAAGATCATTTTAGGATATATTAAATTGTACTGCTATCCTTCTCCTTTCTTATTTTTTTCACCATGTGAAGAAATAATGCCTCCATTTGTGTGCCTGGAGAAGGCCCTGTTCTAAATGCCAGGGAGTTATGTGGGTGCTGAGCTGAGCAGGCAGAGAGGCTGACTCTCTCCTGCTTTGTATTTTTCACTGGAAGTGAACACAGGGGACTGAGCCTGCTCAGATTAAACACACGCTTTTTTTGTTTCACTCTTCGTTCAGCTGTCAGCATGCCATGTTCAGATGGCAGCGATCAGTCACAAATTGTCCCCTGATCATGCTCCTCAGCTCTCCTGAACCATTAGTTTTGTGGAGCTCTTCAACAAAGATGGCACTGGTTCGATTTCCCCACCCCCTGCCCTGGCTGATGGAAGAAGACTTTGTTTGTTTGTATTTCCCCCTCAAATCAGCTGCATTAGATCCCAAAGCAACTTGTATTAAGTGGAAATGAGGCTTTAATAATACGTGTGCTTGCTAGAGACTTCTTAAGATTTTTTTGTTTTCCCACCCCCTCTGTATGTATCTTTTCAATGGGGCACTGCTGTTGTGAATCAGAAGGAAAGCTCACAGGCTGTCAGGCACATAATGGAATTATTCTTTTGTTTCAGTATGTGTGTGTGAGCCTTTGTAAAGAGGAGGTGGTGGGGACAGAGACCTCCACTGCAGGGAGGCAGGAGATGCAGTGGCACAGTGCAGGGCAGCACTGTGGTGAATTTGGTCCTGCCAGTGCCACCAGGTCCGTTCTGCTCGACTCTGGTGGGCACTGCCCGCCTGGGAGTCACGCTGTCACACTGCCTGTCCCAGGAAAGTGGGTGAAGCTTGCACAGCCATTCACAATGCTGCCTGTGAACCATGTGAGGCAAAATATTTAAAAGCTGTAATGTTTCCAGTGTTTTCCCTAAACTTTCAAAAGAGTGATGCAAAGATGAACTGTGCCAATACCGTCCTTCCTCACTGTGAGGCCATTTATTATAAGGAATGTATGGTATAAGTCATTTCAGTATGGAGTACATAAGAGCTTGAACTGAAGCCTTGGATCCAAGCCTACCAGCAGCTTTGCAAAAAGGCAGGATCCAGATCTGAAGTCAGTGGTTCACACAGTTTCTAGCAGAGTGGTTTTAAGTTACTTCATGAAATGGGAGAAGCCAAAAATTTTAAACTGACGCTTTTAACTTTTTATCACCCACCATTCTCCTCTGCCTTAGAAGGTTATTGCAAAAGCATAGCAGCTATTTTCTCCTAGCCACTGTGGCCAGGATATACCAACTCAGGGAAAGGAGAAATGCCTCTGTGGTGGTGACTGTTATACAGCCATATGCTTTTTTTTTTCCAAGTATTTCGTTCTTCTAAAGGAGTTAGACCACTCTTCTGGATGGAGGTCTTTGAAATCACAGCGGAGGCTTTAGAAGTAGGACTCTGAAATTTCAAAGATGTCAGGAAATGGTTTATCACCCTGGCATGGAGCGAATCAGGCCACAGTGGCTGGACTCCCACCTCCTGAAAAGTTCTCTTTTGAGATACCATAGCTGAATTACAGATATGAAAAATTTCAGCATTGTAGGCAAGGAATTCATAAGGCCTAATTTCTTGCTAGATATCTGGTTCTGTTTTTATTATCTCACTTTTCTTTTGCCCTTGGACACAACATTTTTAGGGCTTTTCAGTCTCTAGCTGTGCATTTACGAGAGAGGCATCTGATTATGTGTAACTTTACACATCTGTTACATATGTCAGAGAGTCAAATCCAGCACCCAGAGACTTAATGTGTATTTGCAGTACTCCCTGTGGGACTTTGAGTCCTTAATCGAATGAATTGCTTATGAGGATACAAAAATTCAGTCCAGTGCATGTATTACTGCAGTTTATTGCACATTTACTGCACATATATACATTACACTCTTCTCTGCATTTGGCAGACAAAATCTGGTGTGGGAGAGATAAGAAGTGCAGGTGAACTGGGAAGTATTTAGGTATGGCAGTTAATTTGCTCCCTCCTGAAAACACTCTATCTCTGTTTGGCTGCATGAGAAAAAGTTTTCGTCATGATTCGAATATCTCTAAAAGGTGCCCCAAGAGTGTTTGTGTATTCAGGCTCATTGGACTGTGGGGAGAGGCCAAATACCTGAGGCAGCATTGGTAGCTGAGGCAGAGCTCAGGTTTTGCAGTTTTGTCTGGAGAATCTGTACTATTTTCAGGCTGTATAGGAAGCATGAGTGTCATGGCTTGACCCCAGATGACAACAAAGTACTATGCAGCCACTCACTCCCCATACCCACACAGTACGGGATGGGTAAGAGAATTGGAAAAAAAGGTAGGTAAAACCCATGCAGTGAGATAAGAACAGTTTAATAATTATATAACAATAGCAACAATAATAACAATAGTAGTGGTAATGATAATAGTGATGATATAATGAAAAGGGAGGCAAACAGAAGAGAAAGAGAAATAAAACATGACAAAGACAAGTGATCCACAGCACAGTTGCTCCCCACCCACTGACCGATACCCAGACTGTCCCCAAGCAGCCATCAGCCCCTCAGGGACAACTCCCACAGCTGACAGATTGAGCAGGATGCTCTTTTGTATGGAATATCCCTTTGGCCAGTTGGGGCCAGCTGTCCTGGTCATGCTCCCTCCTGCCTTCTTGTGCACCTCCTTGCTGGCAGAGCATGGGAAAATGGAAAATCCTTGATTTAGGATAAGTCCTTGACTACTGAGCAACTATAACATGAGTGTGTTATTAACATTATTCTCATGCTAAATCCAAAACCCACAAAACTTAGAAGCTACTAGGAAGAAAATCAACTCTATCTCAGCTGAAACCAGGATAGTGCATTAGTTTCAGGTTTCTGCTTTGCTTTTCCTCTGATGGCTTGTTCTGCAAGTGCATTAAGTTTGCAGAAAACATGTGGCTTCTTAGATGGTCTTTTTTTATGATCCACATAGAGCCCAAATGCGGTAAGTGTTATTCCTAAAAATGTTACCTTAGGGCTATTCATTAGTGTGCAGTGCATGCCACTGAGCAGACAGACTT